CCCAAACATTTGCTCATTTGCACCGTGTTGACTGAGATTGCAAAACAAGGTATTACTTGGTGCTTGTGTGTTTTGGATGCACAGCTCTTAAGAATTATTTTGAAACACATGTAGTAACTTTGTGATAACTACGGCTTTTTATACTCCTTGTAAGTCCCTGTGGAGGAACCTTGTTCCTTCCAGGAGCTGGTGAGACACTGAGTAGGCAGTGGCAACGAGTGATACAGATCACATTTCAGTCCCCACGTCCCAGAGTTGCAGAATTTAGCCTAAATGGCTTAACGATTTTAACAGAATATGGATTATGAGGAATGACAATCAAGTACTTTTTTCTTAAAGCCTTTTAGGAAAAAAAAAAAAAAAAAGAGAGATTATGGAGAAATTTGTCCTTATCCTTTTGTTTCTTACTGTCATAATAGTTCTTTATAGGCTTGCGTAGGCTTGTACTAGTGCACAGAAAAAAAAAAAGACAACATAATCTTGCATAAAGAAACTGCTGAAATTTTCTTGGAAAAAAAAATAGGATCCCAGGTTCATTGCTTACCTAATTTGCTTTGCCTAGCAAAATTATCTACTTACCAGTTTGGGCAAGAGACTGCTTCTCCACCCTACTGATGATAATGGAAGAACAAATGCTTTTAGAGCTGTTATTAATTTGTTATGTTTCTATGTTCTGTTTTTTCTTTCAAATCACTATAGTTTCAAGTAACTTGCTAGCTGCATTATGACTGAGATTTGGAATTCTTATTTTTGGAGAAAAAGCTTTTCTTGTTCCCCTTCGCTACCATGTTAGTTTACATGTCCTAGCTATTTAATGCTTACTTTCTTTGCTTCAATTGGGATTCAGATCTGCAAATTCCTGTTGATGTTACCTGATTGTCGGTGCTTGCCTGAGGGTAGCTGTATATGTTTTAGGCATTTGCAGAAAGGAGTTCTGTCGTTTTCTCCTTAAATAAGGAGGATGTATGTATTTTTTAATAGCTCATCAGAGGAAGGTACAGGTCCCTGGCCCATGTTGTCCTTAGGGGACAAGGTAGATCACCTGTATTTTAGCATATGATCAGAGAGATTTTTACTTAATTTGTACTACCCCATTTGAAAACAGTGACAACAAACAGAGACAATAGTCTTTGCTATTTGGATGTTTTGGCCTCCTTCACAGAAGGATTTCAGGAAAGCCTAGCACTTCTTGCAGATTCTTGGGGAGGGTGGTGCCTGGGGAATGGGTGCGAGTGCTCCCAGGGAATTTGGGGCGTTTGTTTGTCTGTTCTGCAGACATCACTCTGGTGCCTGTGCTTCTGCACACTCATGGCATTGTGAGAGTGGGCCTGGCTGGAGCTGCACGCACTGGAGCTGGGGGCTGTCGGTTGCTGACATCCCCGTTGTTTCTTGTTAGGATGCACGTTAAGGCAACAGCTACCTCTTTGCAGGGAGGAATAGGCTGGAAATACTGTTGCACGCCCCATCTAGCCATCGTGTCTGTACGTGTTTTCTGCATCTCCAGCTTGGAAAGAAGCCTTTCTAGTGCTGTGCATCACATTTGGAAGAGCAATTCAAATGAGTAATCCAGATACTACAGAACAGGTCAACATCAGATACTGAGCCACAATGCCTCCAATGCAACGTGGCCCGCTGGAGGGGTCAGTTGTGCCAGGTGCCTCCACTTGGATTCCGCTCTTCTGCTAGGTAGGCAACTGGAAACTAGCTTTCCTTTTCTGTAGCATACTCCTGTAAGGAGCATACTCCTGTGGAGGAGTATGCATGCATGTGTGCATGTATAAAATACATGAAGTGTGTCAGTAATTTGTACGGCAGTGAATCAAAGAATGATAACATCTCAAGTTTGACTTCTAGGCCTTTTTGAATGCTTTCATTTTGCTTCTGGGGAACCTTTTAGTATACAGATCTGAAAGGAATATGCAACTGCATCAGTGATGTCAGAGGCATCTGATTTGGGTAGTGCTGGTAGAGAGAAACAAGAGCTTCCTCTGAATATATGTGGATAATATCAGACACTCAATTAGAGGATGGGGAAAACCAAACTGAACAAAATACCAAGGTAGACTGAGCAGTAATCTAGAAGAAATGTGGACTGCAGGAGATGTGGACTGCAACTGGACATAGGCAGAAGTCCTCCCTGCTATTGCTGCATGAAACAGTGGTTGGAAAAGCACTTATATTCATTGCTAACAAAGAGGAAGAGATCTTGCTTTAGAAATAGAAGTGAGAAACATTCCTCCCACAACAGGCACAAAAAGTCTTCATCTTCCCACTCGCGCCACTGCTCCAAGAGCACACAGCCCTGCTTGCTTGCTGCCAAGGGCTTGAGTGAATATGGGGACTGGAAGTTACAGGGGGAAGAATGCATCTGCTGAACCTCTGCTTAGGGCAGCAGGGTGGGGCAGCTCTAGGTATCCAAAGCATAGTCCTCTCCTTCCTAGCTTGAGCCTCTGGCTTTCACTGAGCTAAGGAAAAAAGGGCTGTGAAGCCATTGTAACAAACTGACAGTGTTTATTGTGTGAGTAGTTCAAATATATTCATCCCCTGTAGCTGTAACCCAAGCAGCCAAAGCTGCTCGAGCTGAAGCTGAGCTTGGCCCATAGGCTCTTCTTCCCACCCACAGCAAAAATATAAACTGCAGCTTCCTTGGGTGAAGTGGGCGGGTGGAGGCAGGAAAGCCACTAGCGTGCGGTGCTACACTGACAGCTGACGTGTGTTCCTTGAAAACCTGTGCTTCTCCTCGCTTTTGGGTGTAGCAGTATGACGAAGCATTGGGAGGCAGAGAGGATACGGTATGCTGGGAGAGGGATGCTCTGATGAGCAGAGAATCTTTATAGGAGGGATGTGGAGTGCTGCTTCCTTCTATTAAAGGATGGGGAGGCAGCAGTGATACTCAGGATACTGAGCTGGAGCCTTTAAAAACTTAAACTTCCTCAAAGGGAATGTTTGAACTCCCGTTGAAGTTTACTTTCAAGTATTCTGTAAATAACTTAGCCCTGTCCATCTGCAGCAGAAACAGCAGAGCAGACTGAAGAGATTCTACTATCAGCTAGATCTGGCAAATAGACTATACTAAATACATCAGTATCTTTTCTGCTTCAGTAACAATATTTATATTACACTTCTGGCTAGAAGGGAGGCTATGGATATTTCTAAATGATGTACAAGAATTTCCTTCAGTGCTGCTAAAAAGCAGCTGGCTTTGGGATAGAGCTCAGCCACTGTTTAGCACTGCACATGAGCAATGTGGAACACTTAAACCTGCAGAAGGTTTTTCCTAAACTGAAGGTTAGCTAGAGCCAGCAGGAGCTGTCATGTTGCATAAGTACAGCAGAGTTTTCACAATTCTGAAATGTCTGGGACTTTCTCTGGATGATTCTTGTTGCTAGCGCTGTACGTTTATGGAAGTGTTGCAAGGGGCTTATGCAAGCCAAGAGTAACTTCATTTCAGGCTGAATGACTTTCAAAAACCAAGATAATTTTTTTTTCAATCTTATTTCACAATAAGTATATATCTGTGGAGATTATAGTGTTATGTCAGTTTAAATTTGCAGCATATTTTACAATGTTCTTGTGGAAACAAATCTTATAGGAGCCAATGATCTTTCTTTTAGAGTTGCCATGTCCCTTGATGAGTCCTAGCGCAGCTGCAGGGTTTTGCCATCACGCAGTGACCAACATCATCAGTGAACCTTACAAGAAACCTGTTAAAAGTGACTGTGTGTGGGGACGAGTGACCCTGCCTGTATGTGCTCTGGAAAACCACTTTTTCCCTCAATAGCATTGCTTGCAATTTTACTTTTTGTATTTTTTGTTTCTGTAAAGTATTTTGTAGAAGACTGTAGCTGTTAGGTGCTAAATCATTAAACCGGAGTTCCTGCTAGAGAACATAGGATTTTTAAAAAGGTGAATATTCAAGCGTTCAGCACTCTTCTTGGCTAAATCAATGGCTCCCATTGCTTTTGGTGGGAGTGCGTTCAGGCGGTTGATAAGTGCTACTAAAAATGCAGCCTACCCACCAGCTATCTGTAGTCTCAGCAAAATACCTCAGTGCTAAATCGCTGTGCAAAACTCCTGTGGGCTGTCACCAGCCCCTGCTTGTTCAGCAGGGCAGCATGTCCTAGAGAAAGGCGCAGGGAGCCTGCCTTCCTTGTTTGTAAAGCCCTCGGAGATCGCCCGCTCTGTGGTGGGAGTGCCAGGGTCATTATGGGCAGTAATTCCTACTGCCTGGCTTTCCCCGGCCTTTTCTGCTTCCTCTACAGCGCACAATGTGCCCGATGGCTGTATCCCTGCAGCTGCTGTGTTTCCCTGCTTGCCTGCAGTGGTATCCGTGCAGCTGCGCTGCTGGACAGCCAAGGTGGCAAGAGCAGTGCCCAACTTTGTTAAAATGTAACAGGAGTGGGAAGGAGAGATGGGAGCAGGAAAATTTGTGGTCTCGAAGAGAACCTGCAGCACATTGTCAGCTGGTGTTACAGGGAGCTGAGTGACCCCAGGGCCTAATCGGAGAGGTATTTTCTATGCCTCTCTCGCAGGAAGAATCACCTGCTGACTTGGTGAGAGCAGTTAATCATGGTAATGCTGAAGGCTCCTGGAGAGAAGTAGTATTGACAGTATGAAACTACTTATGTTCATGCCTCATAGAAACCTTTGTGGGCTTACGTGGGTTCCCAGTTTGCTGTCTGCCTCCTGCATGACTCAGAGAGAGAGAGAGGGTCAGGTGTGGCTGGAAGCAGGCTTGTGACCTGCACAGCATGACACATTTTTATGTCTTGCAGGCAGTTTTCCTGTGGATAATAGGAAGTGTTTCCGTTCTTGTTCTTGCGTGTCTTTTTTTTCCGATGATCATTGCAGTGTATGTTTTATGGTTCCACCTTTGAACATTTCAAAGTTTTACAAACAAACTGAGGGAGGAGAACTCAGTGTGCATGATTTTCAGGCTACGTGGTGTATTGGGATTTCAGAATTGGTCTAATTTAATATTTCTTTTCTCTCTATTCCAGAAAAAGGCATGGCATACGATTAAAACCATGGTTAACTTACCTATCATCAGTCCTTTCAAGAAACGCTACTCATGGGTGCAACTGGCCGGGCATACAGGTGAGATGAGTGTCTTCAGTGTTTTGTCCTTCTTATAGGCATGGTGGCGGTGAGGAGAATGATTATTTCAGTGCTTCTTTAGCTGCTTTGTGTTGAGGTCTGCGCAGGTGATTGGTTAGTACTTGTTTCCTTTTGCTGAAAAGGAACCATGTGATGCCACATGAATCTCTGAACTACAGCAGCTTTATTTCAGCAGTGGGGAGAGATGAGAAGGACACATGTTGCAGCTAAACAAGGACGCACTAGGCAGACTTGGAGGGGGAGGTCATACTCCAGAATACACTTTTAAAATGGTACATGTGAAGTACATGGTAGAGGGGGAAAAAGGAGGACTGGGGAGTGAAGTTGAAGGTCAGTCAATCTGCTGGTGCTTTTGGTATCGTATCATTTCTCTTCAGCAAATAGACAATATGTTAGTTCCTTAGTGGAAAGGATAATTATCTGTTCCTTTACGTGTGCAGCCCTGGTGAGTACTGCATTTCTAATACCAATTCCAAACAGATACCTTAATGTAAACCCTCCAGTGAAAAGCAAACATGGTAAAATAGAGATTTGATGACCTTGTGTTTGCATTGTGAGTCTATCATTGCTCACTACATGAGCACAAGGAGCAGCTCAATTAGCTGAATCTAGTTTAGTGTCTGTAGAATTTGGTGTGTTCTTGATTTAAATTGTTTTATTGGTAAAGCAAAAATAAAAAAACAAATAGAAATCATCAAGCTTGATTCATGCTTCATTTCTGAAGCCGCCCATGTGCCTAATCTGTTAGTGCAGAGTTTAATAGTAGACGTGGGCAGGCACCTACAGCGCTTTAGTGCAGTACCTGAACCACCTCTCTATGTTCTAGTGTACTAATGCAGTGCAGTGCAAAGCTGTGCTGGTGCGTGCTTATTCAGCCTTAAAGTGAGCTAGCTGCGCGTGCACTTGCACAGTGGGGTGATGGTAGCAGGCAGAGCATCAAGATGATCCAGTCTTAACTGCGTGCAGTTTTTGTCACCCTGTGTAAGGGGTTGGCTTGATCTGTGGGAAGTGGTACCTTGGTCATGTAATCATAGCCCTTAGGGGAGTTTGTGTAGGGTGGAGAAGGAGGAATGAGGGCTCTCCAGAAGCTGCATTACAAGGAGAGAGAATGTTCCAGTTCCCTTTAGGTAGTTTTTCGGACTGCATTAAGTCTATCCTTTTTCTTGCAGCTGATCTTCTCTGGTATGGCAAATTCATCCTAAACTATAACCTGGGCCATTGCCCTTGTACTGAGGCAGCCCTGGTTTTAGGATTTGTCAGAAAAGAACTAAGTGCTGAATATGGAGGAACCTATTGTGATAAAAGCTGAGTTTCAGCCCCAGGCTTATTCAGGCTCCTATTTTGGGGCCTGTTTTATGCCATGTAGATTAAAGGCTACCTCAGAGTGAAACCTGTACTTTCCTCTGATGTTGCTGGCATGCTGCAGGACAGAGGAGTGACTCCTGCAGCTGCAGTCTGATTACTGCCAGGCTTGGCCTGCATACCCTGTATCGCTCGTACTGGATGAGGTTCAAACTCCGGGCTGAGAAGCAATTGTGCTGCGGTCTGTACCTGCAGAGGAGCTAGAGCACCTGGAGCTTTAGGCATGTGTGGTCCCCGAGGGTGTGTGCATAGGAAGTGCTATGCTTGGCTCCTGGCCCCGTGGGGCTGCTTAGTGGTCACTGAGCACACTGTTTGGGTGAGAGCACACTCTGCAGACGTGCCCTACGGGAGGATTCACAGCCAGCACTGGCAATGTTCAGCTGCTTTAAAATGCTCTGTCAGAGTATTAACAAAGATTGGCCTGTGGCTTCTTCCTGAGCATGTTAATAAGTATTGCAGTGTTTAATATCCTAACAAAGAGCTTAACATAAAAGAAGAAAAAAAACACATGGCCCAGGGCAGCTGCACTCCTTAAAGCTATGAATTTTGATGTGGAAATATATATTTCACTGCCGATGGCTGTATTTGTCCTGGGTGTGTTAATTTTTTATGAGAAGCATGTTAGCTTTTCTCTTTGAGGTGGGATCTTTATTTGGTGTCATGGGGGTGAGGCCAGGGTGCTGGGAAAGGTGTTTTTCCACTTCTGCAGGTCAGCCTTCTCAGCATGTGTTTGATTCTTCTCTCCAGGGAGTTTCAAGGCAGCTGATAGCGGGAAGATTCTCAAGCGCTTCTCGGAGAATGAAAAGGAGTGTTTTGAGCGCCTGATGAAAGATCCCCTGCGCTCCTGTGTTCCCTGCTTCCATGGTGTGGTGGAGAGAGATGGCGAGAGCTACATTCAGCTGGATGACTTGCTTACGGATTTTGAAGGACCGTGTGTGATGGATTGCAAGATGGGGATCAGGTAAGAGGCATGAAAGAGTATATGCTTTCTAGCACAAGGGGGAAGGGAGAAGGTTGTCGTGCACTGTCTGGAGGAGCTCAATAACATTTTGGTGCCTTGGAGTTCAGTGTATGCTGCCTTTACTGACTTGGAAATTGTCTTGACAACCTGAGGAGAGCACGTTCTGTTGTTGCCTGATTGTACATAGTTTCTGGAAATTAAATGATCTGTAGCCTCAAAAACTATCCACATCAAGGTATTTTCAGGGGTGGTTTGAAGCAAGATTTCCCTGCAGTGACCTGATACTGCTTGGAAAAAAACATACATGATTCACTCACTGCCTGTTCTTTTAATCTTTGCTTACACAGTGATTCAAAAAAACCAACAAAGAATAAAATAACCCTTTCTAAATATGAGTGACTAAATAACAGTGTGAAAGCCTGTTTCCAAAGCTTGAATGACTTCTCAATGATAGTGGTTCTTCCTGTAGAATAAAAATTGACAGTCTGCCCATGACTGACATATGTCCTTGCCCACTCTGACATTCCCATGGTACTATTGCATTGTTCTCCCAAATCTTTAGATAGCAATCTGATCGTAGCCTGAAGTAGCAATTCAGAGAAGTAGGAAATGTCCTATTCGTCTTTCACTACCAGTTCAGATGCTTACAGTTACTGAGCTAAATTAGGCATTCAACTACCTAATATGTCTTTAATTAGACATACAGAGCAATGGCGTTGGACTAGATGACCTCTAGAGGTTTCTTCCAACCTTTAGCATTCTATGATTCTATAATACGTAAAGTTAGTAAAGGCAAGGTGTAGTTAGACAAAGAAATAAATGACAAGAATTGTAACTCCTGTTACCATTTCACTAAATAACTCTGAGCAGCCGTTAAACTGTGTTCATCAGTTTTCCCCATACACAAAGCTGGGATAATGATAATGCTTATTTTTGTCATCAACCTCTTCTGAGACCAGTTATCGTAATTCACAAAACAAATGTTTGGGCAGTAGTTGTAATTTTGTTGAGATGTGATGTTTTTGCAGGACATACCTGGAGGAAGAGCTGACAAAGGCCCGTGAGAAACCAAAGCTGCGTAAGGACATGTACAAGAAAATGATTGAAGTGGATCCTCTTGCTCCTACAGCAGAAGAGAACGCGCAGCATGCTGTCACCAAGCCCCGGTACATGCAGTGGAGGGAAACCATCAGCTCTAGTGCCAACCTGGGCTTCAGGATTGAAGGGATTAAGGTGAATAGCTTAAATTCTGACTATTTTGGTGTCTGAATCTTGCCTGATTTGTTGATTAATCAACAAGTTAGTATGCATCACTAGCCAAGTTGCACACAAAAGCAGCAAGAACACAAGGAGAAGTACAGGGTGGGTGCAATGCAAATGAAACCGATAAAAGGAGGAATTCAGAACTGATAGAATAACCACCTCTCCTCATGGAATGTGTGTGGTTTTTTTTTTTTTTTCCCCCCCTCCTTTAACCAAGAGTTATTCTGGGAACTCACATATTTATTCCAAGTGAATCACAGTAAAACAGTTCTATTTCAGCTATGTTTATTTGCAAAGCAGGATAGAAACGTTAGCTAGATATTCTTGGGATTGAGGAAACCCCTTTTCCATTTAAGTGCGTGTCAGCATTCAGCATAGATAGAACTGGAATAAAGCCAGAACAACCAAAGATGAAATTTCTGCATCCACCAAGTTCATCCGCTGATCTTGAGGGAAGGTACCTCTTTTTCCTTTCCAGGAGCTTAACTTACATCCCTAAAAGAGCCTTTGCAATTTTATATCATAATCATTAATTCTTTATATTTGTCATGCTCTGTGGCAGTATCAGCAACCTGTTTTGTCTCACCCTCATATCAGCCGCCTGACTCGGTTCCTTGGTGTGGTCCAGAAGTGTGCTTTGTGCTTGCCTAGGCCTGGGGAAGCTGCCCCTAACCTGCCCCGCGCAGGTTTGGCCGGCCCTGTTCCTGCAGCAACGTGGAGGGTGATGGGGGCCGCCCAAACCCACCGTTTCCCTGAGGTGGTACTTAGTAGGGGAAGCCCCATCACTTGCCAGCTATGGAGAAGCTGGCATGGCTTATCCTGTGCGGCTTCCAGGGCCTTCAGCAGAGCACACTTGTACCCTTCATTAGCTTAACTTGCGTACGTTAAGATGCTGGATTTAATTTTGTTGAATAAAGCACATGGGGAAAAAAGAAAAGGACAGAAGAGAGAGAGTGAAGCTGACAGATTCCTTAACTACCTCTTTTTTTCTCTGCTTTCCCATGGTGTCTTTTCCTTCCTCAATCATAGATTCTCCTGCTGTGATACAGGATCTAGCAGTTCCAGCTCATGCTGTATTGCCCTGTTGCTCCCCTGCACACTGGTGACCCATCTCAGCAGTTAGATACAGGCACCCTCATGCAGGAAATGTTTAGGTGATAAATCATCTGGTTTCACTGTAGTCAAGACTCTTCCTGTTTTACTCCTTGGGCATTTAATGCTGTTATCAAGGTACCTGTTTCAGTTCCTGTAACACTTAAATTTTTGGATGCTCTCTATAATGGCACTAGAAACTCAGATATTCTCAAGACTTTTTGGAAGGAGCTTTTGGTCAATATAGATTTGCAGAATTATGCTGAGTCCTGAAGAATGACTGAGATAGGGAAGCACAGAGGAGCTCCGGTAACGTCTCCTGGATTGTTCTTTCTGGTCTGGCTGGCTGTGGAGGCGGGGAGGAGCAGAATGGCACTCCAGCCGCACCATTTCCCTCAGCTGGGACAGTGCTGTAACAGTACAAGGCAGGCACAAATAAATAACCTTTTACTTGGCACAGGACATACTTTGAAATACTTACATTACTTTCTCCTCTCCCTTTCTGTGTTGTTGTGGGCATGTAGGTGTCAATCTCCCCGTTTTATATATGGAGAAATGGAGAAGAGTTGTTTAAACAACACAGCCAGTCAGTACTCCCATGCTGTTGTACTGTAGTTGAACTGTACATTCAGTTCTGCATATTTGCAGGGAGCAGAACCCTGCTGGGTTCATTTTGAGAGAAGAGCCTGTGAGGATCAGTGTTGCCAGCTAGTGGCTGAAGGGAAGCAGGAGGCTTGTTCTCCCTAGGTACAGGGAATAACTCCATCGTTAGTTTGGTCAGTCAGCAATATTCCTATTCAGGGGCTGCTGAAACAAGAAGCAATGAAGGTGAAATCATAGAAGCCCTTCAGTGGGGTGGCTCCCTGTAAGTGATGTCTAATTCGCTCTATGCACCCCTCCTTCATCAGTGGGGTCCCTTTTCTCTTTTGGTTGATCTATCTCTTTTTTTTTTGGAATCACTTCCATATCCCTGAAATCAGACCAAGTTCATTCACTGAGTATGTCACTCCTGCTTTTTTAAGAAGTAGGTGGAACCACATTTTTTTCTTACAGCTGGCAGTTGACATTTTGTCTCTTGTGCCTGTTGGCTTCGGAAGGCAGGTTAGTTGGGCATGGGAGTGCTAAGCTTCGTAAATGTTGTCTCTCTAACACTATGCTACTAATAATGCACACACAGGGCAGAGACTCAGGAGTCCTGTCTTTTCATTCTGTCATTGAATCTCTGCCATTTGTGAAGCTGCTTTTTGCCTTGTCACTGTTCCTTTAACTGTAGGTCAGGGATAGCAGTTTTCCCAGGAGAACAGCAGATTTGGATAGATAGTTGTAAATGCATTTATATCATGGCCATAACCTGGGGCCCCTGAGGAGCAGTCTGCAGAAGAATAGGAGCTAGGTGTGTGAGAGAGAGGTAGCACTATTTTATGGGCAGCCAAACTTGTTCTCCTGCTGCCTGAGTCACTGTCCTATCTAGTGAGAAGTGCCGCAGGTGAGCGGCTGGCTGGATTGTGCAACGAGTTCCCTGTGCAGGGATGTCTGTGGAGGCGCTGGCAAAGCCATGGCTTCAAGGAGCAGGTTGGCAAGTTCCTGACAGGGATTCAAGTTACTCTAAAGTCTGGAGCAGAGTTTGGAGCATAAGAAAAATTATTCTTACAGCAACCTTCCTCTCAATAGTATTTTGCTCTTCCTGAGAGGAAAAAATATGAAGCAGTAACTAAATTCCAAATTTCTGTATACTATTATACTAAAGCATTACTATACATCAATTAAGAGGGCTCCTAACTTCCACTGTCTGCCTGAACTTCTCTTGTGTAACTTACGTCTCTCTTCAGCCTGACAAACCACACTTGTATCTGGTCCACAGCTTTGGAATAAAATTCTGTTTATTCTACAGCTAACTTGATTAGTTAAAGTCTGGTAAGTGGGAGGCTGTTTTGCTGTTCAGTCAGTTCACTGTCTTGTGCAAATTACGGGAATTTAGCATTATCTTTTTGTTTCATGTACCTGACAGAGGCTCAGTTCTTCTCAATAAGTAGTGTTGCACTTACTGAGATCGGGGCCGAAATTATCCAGTTTTGGTACAGTGCCTTAGACATGTAGGAAGGAACATATTTTTGTGCCTAACTTGATTTACTCCTATAATGGATATGAAGGGACTGGTGTGATGGAGAAAAATACGATGTGATGCTCTTGCATCCTTCTGGATCTACCAAAAGAAATTACTATGTGCAACAACTGCTGTATTTTATATGTATGTGCTCAAAATGTCTTTTTGTGTCATTTTAAGGAATAGTGACAAAGAACAGGCAGACCAGCACGTACCAGGTCTTTGCACCAGGATACAAAGGCTCTGCTGTCTTTCAGGAGCAGGATGTGTCTGCACTGAGTTGAGCTGTTAGTACAAAAATATTCTGAATTAGTGCAGGACCAGTTGGATGCATGCCCACCCTGTCCTAATATTCTGAATTAGTGCAGGACCAGTTGGATGCATGCCCACCCTGTCCTAATATTCTGAATTAGTGCAGGACCAGTTGGATGCATGCCCACCCTGTCCTAATATTCTGAATTAGTGCAGGACCAGTTGGATGCATGCCCACCCTGTCCTTTGCCAAAATTCCCCATTCCTTGTTACCCTAGCATTTGTATCGGATACCATTGCAGATCCTTAGTTCTTCCCCAAAAGCAGCTTTCCATTCTGAGTTCTACATCATGTCAAGGTGCAAAGGCATATTGGGAGTTGAGAGTCTGACCAGAAATTCTTTGGCTTCCTCATTTGAAGAGAAAATAAGATAATAACTGATGAAAACAGGATTTGAGAATAGCCCTTACACTCCCAGCTAGGGGGATGCCTGCACCAAGCTGAGTGGAAGACAACAAAAGGATGTTGTCTTTTGCCCCATTCAACTTTGCACTGCTGCTACTGAGATGAGAGAAAAATCCTTCTGCTGGCTGGTAATATCTTCATTTCTTAAAAAAAATGCAGTCAACAGGAAATTAAGTGCTGCTTAAAGCTATTTAATCAGCCCCTGTATTTCTTTTTTGTCACCTCTTGCTTCATAGATCTTCTCTTCCTGTTTAACTGCTCACTTTCTGCTGGTTAGTGAGAATGAGAGAAATACTGTGTGCGGTACAAACCTTCTCTGTCTTTGTGTGTTTTTGTGCAGAAGGCAGATGGAACATGTAACACAAACTTCAAAACTACAAAGACACAGGAGCAAGTTCTCCAGGTTTTTGTGGAATTTATTGAGGGTAACACAACTATTCTGGTGAGTCTGAACTATTTCAGTATGCTGATCTTCAGCTTGCTTTTGAGACCATGATTTCTGTGGAAGAACATTCTGGGAAACTATCAAGACAGAAAATGAGCTGAACTTTCTGGCCCTCTCAGCAGGTGGAATTAGAGCCTTGGCAGACTGAGCAGTAGCTGGTTAAGACTGGCTGCTGCAGCTTTTGCCATAGGCAGAGTAGCAAGACGTCACCATGAGTTCCTTGGGCTGGCAAGAAGCAAGACAAACTAACTGGTGCCTTGCTGTCGACCTGCCACCATAAGTGTGTGCTGTATCGGGGGATGCTGAGAGGGTTATGTTGACTCATGAGAGGATGAAACTGGCACAGGGGCCAAGAAGTGAGACTGGGGATTCACTGTGGGAGAGCTGGTCTGGGAGCAAGTCCTGTAAACTGCTTTAAGGATATGCAAGGGTAGCACAGCAGGCGTGTGGGAGGTGGCATAACAGAGCTCTGCCCTTGGAACTTCAAAGGAAGCTGCAGTGGTTTGTGACCATGTAGAAGCCACTATGAGGGAAGGCCAATTCTTCAAAAGCAGCATGCTCAGTACCACAGGGCAGCACTGAAAATGCTTGCTAGAGCTTTAGGCAGTAGACTTTTTCTTTTTTCCTCCCCATAACATGATTAGAGCTCCTTATCTCTTAATATAATTTCATTCTCTTTAACTTGTGGAGAACTGAAAGATTTTTCATTGCTTGAAACTTCCTTTTTCTTCATTCAAAGAAAAGTGAGCAGAGGATCTGTAGCCAGATGCTATCTCACCGCATCCGAAGCCAAAGGCAGATGAGGATCACCTTTCACTGTGGCACACAGCAGCAGAGGAACTCTGCACTGGTTTTTTGCAAAAGGCAGTCTGTTGAAGTGTATTTGGTTGGCTTTAAAATGATTAGCTTGTAGTTTCTGCAGGACATCTAGCCTAAAATGAACAAGATCTCTTCATTATAATGATTCTTTTAAGTGGAGTATTTTAATTCATCCTCCTTACTTAAAAGGTTTTTTTCTTCCAGAAAAAATACCTCAAGCGTCTGCAGGAAATTCATGTCATTCTTGAGTCCTCAGACTTCTTCAAGCGACATGAGGTGAGCAGTGAGTGAGTGCAGGGCTGTGTGGAGCTGCCGCCTTGCTTCATTTGGTCATTCAGATGCGTTTCAGAATAGCCTGCTGTATTAACAGAGAGGAGTTTGAGTGCTGGAGAGAATTTACATCCTCTCTACTACTCAATATAATTCTGAATTATACTATTCCTCGGTATTATATATACTCAGTATATTCATCATATATATTCAGTATTATATATACTGAATTATACTACTATTTCTCTTGTATATATTCTGCTTGTATTTTTTCCTGTAGTGAAGGCACACATTATAAGTTCTGCTTGCTACAGCTCAAGATTTTGAGATCAAACATGATCTTTTGTTAGTGTTAATTCACACTTTGTCACTAGTGACAAGTTTATCATAGGTCGTGGTTTCTCTTTGAAAGTAGTAACTGCCTTTTTGCTGAATTGCTAAAACTGAGATCTGCTGCCAAGTGAGCTGGAATACCACTTTTCTTCCCCTTCTCTACTGGGTCCCTTTTTCCATCTACATGTCCATTTATAAATTACAGAATGATTTTGTTATGCGGGTAAGACATGTGCTGTTCATCAGTGCAGCCTGAAAGTTTGCTTGGTCACAGGTGAGGAGGTCATCTGAGGAGTGATGGTGGTAGGAAGAGTGAGACCCGAGTGTTTTTTGATTGTTTTGTTTTGTTTTTGTTTTTAACCACATTGTCCCCATCTGTCTTCCAGGTCGTTGGAAGTTCACTGCTTTTTGTGCATGATGACAGTGGGAATGCCAATGTGTGGCTGATTGATTTTGGAAAGACCACCCTTCTGCCTGATGGGCAGACGCTCGATCACAGAATTCCCTGGCAAGAAGGCAACAGGGAAGACGGGTACCTGTTGGGACTGGACAATTTGATTGGCATCTTGGAAAGCATCACTGAAAGATGAGAGGATGAGTGTGGCACAAAACTCACAGGGCTGCTTTGTAACTTTCTGCTCTACTGGGATCACTCAGTTAGATGGAAACCAATTCCCTCCCAGTTTTGGGGGGTCATTATACTGCAGAGGGAGCTGCATCCAGAGCCCAGCTGTTAGTGATCAAAATGACTGCAGCAGCCCTCTGAACCTGAACAACTCCAGCTTGATCTGTATTGCACCAGCCGAACTTCGGACTGGCCCGCAGAGAATCGGGATCTGCACGCTCGGGAATCACACCGACATGAGTCCAGAGGTCTGTATGGTAAAGCCAGAACGATTCTGATTTCAGCAAACAGATGTGACTCTGGTTACCTCTTAGTGAACCAGAGCAAGTACTTGGGGATTCAGGGTAAGGGGTAGCTGATCTTTTTTTTTTTCATGGAACTGCACAGTTTTGAAGCCAGCAAGTGTTTTTTTCCCCCAAATTCCAAGTCTCCTTGCTCCCATGTATGCTTTGGATTGGGCCAACAACAGCTGCTGCACTGTGTTAAAGCGTGCACAAGGTGGGAATTGGTGGTATTTGCAAGAAACCTGGACCAAAGGGAAACACCATTTTGTAGCGGAGGTTGTATCAGTGGTTGGATGTAGTAACTGCTGTTGACCATTCCTCCTCTTCCCTGCACCAGCCTCAGCTCCTCTCTCTCAGAAGCTTTTGTCTTTTACGTAGCCTCTCAGGAGATGACAGATCTCTAGTGAGAGAACAGCACCCTCTTGGTTTCAAAAACATTTGGTTTTTTTCAAACTGCGTGGGGTTTCGAGAGAGTGGCCAGCACGGCAAGGCTGGCCGCGTGCAGCTGAGCCAAAGTTCTGAAAACTCACTAACGAATTTCTTTGGGTGCGTGGTGTGGGACACAGGATTTTTTTCAGGATTGGATTATTTTTAAAGCTAGAAGCCCTATGTACACACACCAGTAACTCTGCTACCAGTATGATTTCTTAGACTGTAGTTTTGATTCTCTCCTATTGCACATGAAAGAGGTGACTTTTTGGCCCTGGTCATCCTGTTCCCAAATATGAAGCTGCCACTTGACTATAGAGACCAACAGAGAGCTCAAGAGGCAAACATTTTTGCCTTTACAACAGTACACTAATGGTGAGATCCAGTCCTAGGCATCCTTCCCGTGAGATATCAGCTGTTATCTTGGGGTGCTGAGGGGCATGGAAGTTATATATCATATCCCTTAATCCCTGTCTGGAGTTGCAGGAACACCTGTGGGTGACTTTTGTTAGCTTGCTGTGGCTCCTGTGTAGCCACAGGACATTCACTTTGATGGGATAAAACCAAGGCAGACCAAAGCGCTGCGTTTTCTTGTGTTGGCATCTCTGCCTCTGGCTGCTTGGAGTGCTCGCAGTATAAATGCTGCCAGACGACAAACACTGGCAATCCGTTCACGCGGAGTTCAACAAGATAGATTCTGTAGGAGCACTGAGAAGTGGAGACACTTTAGCCTAAAAGAGAAATTGTTTGAAACTGGTAATTATTTTTGCAACCCACTGCAAGTTAATAATTGTTCTGTTGCCTCACAGAGTCCCTCTCAGTATTATTATCATGTTAATGGATTTTCTTTCCACTTATGTCTTTCAGAGGGTTTACACTTTGAAAAGTAGAGCTGTAGACTGGCTCCACAGATGTTTGAAAAAGATAAGATTGCAAGAAACTTTATTTTTAAAGTGAAGATAATCCTTCAATAGGAAGCACATGTATTATTCTAGGTGTTTCCAAACTTTTGAATTTGTATGAGCTGACAATAACAATTAACACTGATGAATTTCTTAGAATTAAAAATTTCCTTCTTTCCTGCAGCCACCAGGTAAGCCATTCTTTTAGCAGTGTTTGAAGAGACCAGGAAGTAAATAGGTGTCACAGGAGAGAACTTTAATAAGAACACTTCTTCTATTGAACTATAATTCAGGCAGTCCTACTACAATTAAAAATAATTAGAAAAATTATAAATGAGACTGTTGCAGTGATGCAGTTCATTAGTGGGTTTTGTGTTTATGAACCTTGAGTTGGTTTTTTTTTTTTAATCGCACATGTGAACCTCTTATTTTTCTAGAAAGGGAGTAGGATGTTGAAGGTTAAAAAAAAAAAGGCAATTCTTAAATATGAAAGGACAATTTGTCATAAATGTTTAGAATGTCCAGGTCTAATGGAAAGTAGCTGCAGCGCGATGCCAACAGCCTCCAAAACCCCACTGCTGCCAGTGCCTGGAAGGATGGTTTGCAGCACAAACCACCTTGTGGGAGAACATGGGACGTGAGCCATTGCTCTGCAGCAGTTGCAAAGGGTTAGGGTGGGGAAGACACTGGACTAGAAACTCAGTTTACATGAGAAGTAGTCCAGATATTTTGTTTTGAAATGGCCTTTGACTTTTTATGGGGTTAGAAGAGAGGATGTCACATTCTAATGTGCTTCTGCTGTTAACAGGAGAAAAGAGGGAGCTTTTAATTAGTGAAGTGCGAGTGCAGCACTCCAAATGAGGACTGGATTTAAAGGGACTGGAGGCTCTGAGCTCATGAGCAAGTTACCACAGGGTAAGTTAGATACTCCTCAGCTGTCCTAGAGTTGTCTGCCTGTGTGCACGCTCCCTGCCTTTTGCTCTGGGGCACATCACCACACACAAACTTCCTTTTCCCGAGGTGTCACCATCAGGCCTTTGCCATGGGAGAGCTGCTGGACACTGACCAAGGCCCTGGCTGGCGTACGAGCCCGGGCCGCAGCTCCCGAGCACCTCACTGCTAGCTGAGGCACGGGGCCTGTGCCGTGCTGTGCAGCCAGCCCGGAGCGGGGGTGCCAGTGGCCACCATGCTCCTCCCTCGTGCCATGGAGCACTAGGGTAGCTGCTTCATTCGTGTGCGAATCAGGCAGCAGCACGTGGCTCCCCGGCTCTGCCAGACTTTTTGGCCTTTACGACCATCTCCTAGGCTGCAGTTTTGTTCCTTTTTTTTACAGATGGGAAAGGACCTACTTGCTGCACAGGGATGGTGTGAGGCTGTACTTGGTTAGTGCTTGCAAGATGCTGTGAGATTCTTTAGAGGGTGGTGCAATATAGAAAGAAATACACAAATATGTTGTCTAAGTTAAAAACAATGGGTGTTGTGGCTCCACCAGGTTATAAATAGTTAAATTTCATTTATAAAAAAGTGGTACAAATCAGATCACTTGTCATTTTACACTTAAGAATTCACTTAACATCAGCTGATCTAGTTCCTAAAATATGGAAAGATTTCCAAAGGAGTTGGACCAAACCCCTAAGTATCTCAGCGGGCTCTTGCTTATCTTCTTTTGTGTTGCTGTATTATTATTTGTTATTCTTAAGGTACTGAGGTCAAATGGCCTGTATCATCCACAGTGCATCCGTTCTGAACACTACAATGCAATGCTGACCACGGTCACTTTGGACATTGACTGTACTGGTTGAGTGTTTGTTACTCCAGAGTGTGTATGCTACTAAATAAATGAGACTGGAGGAAAACCAGAAAGATATAAACTATGATTCGGTCATGGGAGAGTTGTTTCTTTTCCTCAAGAACTTTACAGAAGAGAGGATGAATACTGCTTTCAGCATTCCCTGTGCTTTGTCTTTAGCATCTCATAGTTCCTAAAACAAAATGGGCCTGAAGAAGTTAAAGCCACAGTGCATTGGGGGGGGGGTGCGTGTGTGTGTGTGTTTTAGAACCTGGTCCACACAGCATTTGACAGCTTCCGTAGAGGTAAGTCTGATCTTAAAAACATCTCATAGTCCTGCAGTACCATGTATATAAACGTGTGTGTGTGTGTATGTATAGATGGATATACAAACATGTAGTACACGAAAAGGCACTTGCTGTCCTCGGGAGAGTGCGACTTCGATGCGGCCAGCCCTTGTACTGGCGGGGACTGGGCTCTACTGCGTTCCTGGGTGCCAGCCTCGAGGACTGGCAGCATTTCCCAGCTCGTTCTCACACCTGAGTGCCAAGAGTATTCAACAGAGAGACACAATAGCCACCCTTAGTGTCTCTTTATTTTGTGTTGCAAATATAGAAGTATACATTTGTCCAACTTGAAATTGCATAGAAGCAGGCCTGTCATCTACTTATGTACAGTAGTCAACCCAAACGGTTAGGTTGGCAGGAAGTGCTGCCGTGTTGGGAAGTAATGACAGAACAAAAGCAGTACATGGAAAAGGCGTGGGGCCAGACTCGCCGGAAGAGGCATCTCCCTAAGGTCCCTGCGGGAGCCGGCGAAGGAGAGCGCAGCAGCTCTGCAGAGCGCTGCTGCTCGGGGCTGGGAGGAGGTGCAGTCCCCGCTGCCGAGCGGTGCCGAGGCGATTACTTTGGGGAAAACCATACTCCTACCGTGAGCATCTTCTTTTCTTTAGGGAATAGAGGGAGGGAGGGTGCTGGAGGTGGTGGAGTAAGTTAAACTTGCAAAAAAAAAAAAAAAAGCTCATAATAAATTGTACCTGCAAAGCTTGCTTAGGGCAGATCTGCCACCTGGAAAATGAGTGAACTTGATTGGGCAAAGAGTTGATGAGATGGGGACACTTCAAATCTGTGCACAATTTGAAGATATAAAGTGTATTTTAAAATAGAGGAGTAGAGGAGAGTAGAATAAAAGCAAAGATAAATCAAAACCAGGATAGCAACAGTGGTGAAAGGAAAGCACAGAAAAATTTACATTATTGTTTGATCTTGTATTAAAAACTCCTCTCTTCAAAATGCAAGTAGGAGGCTGTATAAGCAACATAAATTAGGAGTGTTAAGCCTAGAAAAAAATATCACTACACACACACACACATCTAGTTAAAAACAGGTTGGTAGTTGCACTGTTAAAACAGAAAAGACCCACCAGAAGAGTAAGCTGTAATATTCCTATAGGTTGCTGGTTGTGTATGGGGGAAGACTTTACACATGAATTACAGGATCAGATTAATCACAGACCTCTGTGTGTGTCATTCCTCTATGGGGAAAAAAAAAGTCTTTCAATTGCCAATGTAATAGATGATAACCTTGACAATGAGGGTTCATTTTTTAACTCATGAAAAATGTCTCCTAAAAAAAACAATTTCAAGCAGAGTATATTTTGAAATGAGCAAACTCGGGCACTGTGCAGAATCTATGATCGCAGGAACAGTGATTTTCAAATGTCTTGCAGTTGTAGGATTTGAATGTTGTGCTATATGGCATTATGGCATTTCTTTTTTCTTTCTTTTTAGATGAGTATATTTTGGAAAGCTTGTAGCATTTCACCATCACAACAGGAGCAATATTAGCATTAGTTCCTCCAGGATAGCCATTAAAAATTCATTACTGTGAGGGCTTTTAAGACACAGCTAAGAGATCAGATACACAAATGAGTATTTTTCAGGTCAAGGATGCGTAATAACTGTGCAGACAGAAAATACTTTATTTCCATCTGTGGGAGTTAAGAGCATAAATAAAATATAGGTTACTAATTCTTAGAAAATTTCCAACTGTTTCCTTTAGTGCCCACTGAATATGTGCATGTCCATATTCTGTCTTGTTACAAGACACCACTGGTGACTCAGTAGGTTCCTGAGCTAGATGCTGTTGTAGAGCAGGAGAATATTTACAGGAAATAATCACTACCTGTTCACCCTGCTCTTATCTTTGCCCTTCAGACACACGTCTATTGGTCACTGGCAGAGATAAAATCCTGGGCTGTACGGAGTTACAGTCTGGCTCAGCGCAGCTTTTTCTATCCTCTTACTGTAAATAATAAGTACTTTGACTCAACTGCTGAGTTAAAAACATATATGTTGTCCAGAGCACAGGACTGAAGAACTTGTGTTTTAGTTCTAAAATGAGATGATCTGCAGACAAGCCCGTGTAGGGCACTGATGAGTGAGTGACAGCATGGGAGTCATGTAACCTGGAAGGCAAAGAAGTTGAAGATGAGCTGATGGTGGTCCAGTTAGCTGAGGAGAAAGGCATTTGTGCTTGCCTGGCAGGAAGTAGAGCTGGTCAGCCAGAGCCATGGTCCAAGGCTGCATGTCAGCCTCTGCACTCAGTCCCTGCTATTCAGCTGGAAAACGGCACTGCCAGAACTCAGCAGAGACACTTTGCTCCCTGTGCCTCAGCTAACCAGGCTGCTCCAGGAGACAGAATAGGCAATGTGCAAGCCATAGAGCTAAGAGGAAGGCAAAAGGGAAAGAAGGATGAGAGAGAAGGAAAGTTTTCTGTCTTGGTTACTAAGCCCTTTTGTCCTCCTGGAATTCGCCTCTGCACAGGGGGACACGTCTGCTCTGACCAGCTGTCCCTGCTCAGCCCAGATTTGTGACGTTCGTTAACCCTACCATAAAGGTCAGTGCTAGGAGGAGCCATCATCAGCAGAGAGGTCCAAAAAGAGAGTTTATGAAACTGCTCCTTCTAAAGCTGAAGGGCTAAGAATATGGGAAGCTAGGAACAAATAGGAAATAAGACAACCAAAAACCTGAGCTAAAGACACACTTAGATGGCAAAAGATGGCCTTGAACTCCTCACACTGCTTCTCTGTGCCACACACCAGCAGTATCCGCTCCTGAATGACAGACAGGACATGAGGTGTGCATTCAAAGGAGCCCTTCTCCTGCACCCCACCATTGGGGAACCACTCTGTCTTCAGACTGTACATACAGCTACTCACTATGGCAGAAAGCTCGTGCCACAGCTTCTCTCTCCACTCTCGACAGAGTCCAAGACATCACTGTGGACAGCCTGACTACATGTGAAGGCAGCACAGAATCTGGAAAATGTTCTGGTCCTTGTATGCAGGGGTTTAAATGGTGTCACCTCTGACTTGTTAGACAGCTCTGCATTTTCTGTCATTTGCCATTCTCTTCAACCATCAATTCTCACCTGCTGTGGTCGGCTGGCAGTGCAACATTCAGCTGTGGGGCAAGGACAAAAATCCTTCTCAGCTCATTCAGGTTTAAACTCCATGATTTACCTTTTCAGAAGTCTCCTTGTTTTGCAGGATTAACCAGTAAACAGCAATTTAGAGCCTCAACAACAGCAGAAAGACTTAAAATCAGCATTTCTTCACACCAGTCACCACCTACCTTATCCAGCAGGACTGTGTGGTTGGAAGTCAGAAAGAAATCAACACCCTGCTCAGGTGTGTGAAGCCGGCTAATGGTTTAGCTTTCCCAAAAGGCTGAGCTGTTCTGCCTGATGTGTAAGGAGCACTGTAAGGTAGTGGTTCTATTAAACACATTCCCCTTCACTCTGCACCTCCTCAGCCTTACTCTGTGCAAGGTATCTCAGAAGAATATGAGTAAAACTAAAAAGAACTCCAGAGCACCACCTGCTACACAGTCACCCTACGAACTGCAGCTTAGTGCTTACCAACGTAGCACAGGAAGGTACTGGTATTAGCAGAATACCGAAGTACTTACAAAAATGAAGTTCTGCCAACTTAAGTCCATTCAAAGAAAAGCAAAGTCTGTTTCTCCCCACACCATGCAGCTTGCCATTCCTTGGAAAACTTCCCGTCCCTTCCATGCCAGGACCTAGGAGGAAAGCAAGACCCTGAGGCAAGCAACACCTTTTCTTCACTAGTCAAAGGGCCTTCATCACCTCCACCATTTTTTTTTTTTTTTTTTAAATATTGAATTTGTTTTCTTCACTGCTTGCTTCCAAAACACACTCAAAGGAGCCTGGATTATTTTCATCTTCCCTACTTCCTCCAGTTTGAACAGCAGCTTTATTTTCATCATCTTCACAGAGCCTGCTAAGAAAACAGGGCAAATGTGGCTGCTGTTTCCTGTCCTGTCAGTGCAAGCGCATCACCAGTAAGCGAGCAGGCCTGTGCAGCGCTCTCGCGAACGCAGCAGCCTTTCCAAGTTGGTCGCTGCTGGCACTCCTTTCATTTTTGGTTTCTTAGGTCAGAAAGAACAGCCTCTGTTGATTATTTCCATCCAAATGTTGGTTGGAAGGAAGGTCCATTTCTTTTTTTTCACCTGAGCAGATTAGAAAGGACTCCTGTCATTAGGGCTCATATTCTGAACCAGTGCAGCAGTGCTGTTGTTCCCTACAGATAAGCACAGGCCCTGGTTCAGAGGAACACGCTCGGTGGGCAGAGACGGAAATGCAACTGTCTTTGAGGATCTGGGGATCCAGCAGGCAGACGGAGGAGCAGAACGCTGCTGATGTTGGAACATCACCCATCTGAAGGGACTTGAGTGGAGTTAAGTAGGTGAAACAGAAAGCAGTTCCAGACACACACAGTCCCTGGAAGAATCTTTTCCTTTATACTGGTGTAACACTCAAGTCATCTGACAAAGACAGCCCAGAGTCTCTCTCTCTCGATGTTTTCTGTGGTTTAGAAAAAGGCTTCTCATCTCTACACAGACTCGAGCTCCTTAGTACAGCTGCTCTGGCCCCTTCCAAAGCTGACGGCGGGTGGTCAGTGCTGTAGCACAGATCATCGTATGCATAGTTTACATTGCCACAGGGGAAA